AGGTACTGATCCTTTTGTGTGCATATGTACTGAATTATTGTACTAATTTTTAAAAATATTTTTCGTTGATTTCAGAGAGGAAGGTAGAGGTAGAGGGAGAGACAGAAACATCAATGATGAGAGAGAATCATTGATCAGCTACCTCCTGAATGCCCTCTACTGGGGACCAAGCCTGCAACCAGGCATGTGCCCTTGACCAGAATCAAACTTGGGACCTTTTAGTCTGCAGGCCGACAATCTATCCACTGAGCCAAACCGGCCAGGGCTGTACTAATTCTTATGCGGATTCTATAAGTGAATATACACTTTGCAGATGAGAATACTGAGTATTCTAGAAATTAATTGGTCCAAAGTCACCAATTCATAATAAATGGATTTGGCCCCAGGCAGTCTCACTCCAGAGATTATGCTTTTCACGATTGTTATACAATATTATGGTGCCACCCATGGCCTGATAGTGGTTGTATTCTTCTCTCCTACAGTTAAGCAGATGCCTTTTCTCCTTCCATTCCCTTTGAAATGATGCTGAGCTCTTTTATAGTGTATTTTGGCGGGAGACATTTAGTAATAACGTACAGGTAATTTATGAGAAGCTATCAATGACTGGCTTTGCAATTAGCCAACAAAGTTATGCTAGGACAATCACAGCCCCAAGTGCATTCATTTTCAAATCATAATTTTGATCACGATTATAATTTTTTTAATATATTTTATTGATTTTTTACAGAGAGGAAAGGAGAGGGATAGAGAGCTAGAAACATCAACCAGCTGTCTCTTGCACACCCCATATTGGGGATGTGCCCGCAACTAAGGTACATGCCCTTGACCAGAATCGAACCTGGGACCTTTCAGTCCACAGACCGATGCTCTATCCATTGAGCCAAACCGGTTTTGGCCACAATTATAATTTTTTTTAATATATATTTTATTGATTTTTTTACAGTGAGGAAGAGAGAGGGATAGAGAGTTAGAAACATCGATGAGAGAGATTCATCGATCAGCTGCCTCTTGCACACCCCCTACTGGGGATGTGCCTGCAACCAAGGTACATGCCCTTGACCGGAATCGAACCTGGGACCTTTCAGTTCCCAGGCCGACGCTCTATCCATATAATTGTGGTTTCGGCCACAATTATAATTTTTAATAATGAAAATAAAACATAATATTCTCTTTAAAGAGATTAATTTCTTTCTTCTTTCCCTTCACCTGGTGCTTATAATTCAGAACAACCAACAGCTAAAGGAACTAAATGCCTTCTTCTTTAGAGAGTGTAATGCCCTAAAATCCAATTAACTTAAAGCAATTAAAATTCTGTTTTTAGAGCCAGCAAACCTCCAGGAGGTTGCTGGAACTGTGGAGTATTGTTCAAAATCATGCGAAGAAGAAAAGAAATGTCTATGTCAAAGTGCATTTGTAAACTCCAGAGCTCTACCTACATGCACATCATGTCAGTGATTAGACCAGACGTTCTCATGGTGTGGTCCCTGCACCAGCCTGCCAGCATCACCACCTGGGACCTTGTTAGAAATGCAGATTCTGTGACATCCCCCACCTACTGAATCAGAAACCCTAGGGGTGGGCTTCCAGATCCCCCCCACCCCCCAGCTCACACCTACTGAATCAAAAACCATCGGGGTGGGGCCTCACCACCTGCATTGAACCAGACTTTTAGGTGATCCTAATGCCCACTAAAGCTTGGGAACTACTTCTCTACCTAAACAGCTGCAACTGAAGCTTCTGGGTGTAATAGTCTTGTTTATCATTCCTCTGGGTAAATACTAAGCGATTTACAAGCATTACTTACATATGCTTTCCCACATCACAGGTTTGCCTACAATCTTTAGTTGCATACTAATCTCAGCTTGAACACTGCCTCTGTTTACAGCCAGTATTTACCTGTAGTGTACAATGTTTATCTCATGCTTCTCTGGCCAAAATAGATGGCTTTCCCAGGTGAAGTAAATAACATTTGTTTAGTAGTATTCCAAAGCCTTCCTAACAATGTGGAAAGCAGCTCTTGCCTAAATAGCCATTGCACTATCAAAACAGCATTTGGTTTGCTCAGTGAGAACCTTTTTCTGTTTGCTGTTTTAAGTGGTAATGAGACTATGAAGTATAAGTCCAGGCTCCTGAGAGAGATGCTACTCCTCTCCCTGATGTGTGGCTCCCTTGGCACCTGTGATTCAGAATCCACTTGCATCACGAAACATCAATGAAGGGAAGCCGGTGACAGTAACGGAGCCTTGATAGGCCAGCTTCACAGGACAGACGGATCGTGTTTCATCGGAGGAAAGTGCCTCTAATGAAAGGAGGTGGCTTGGGACAAAAATATTGGTGCTTTCTTCTTCTTCTCCTAATGGTTATTCATGGCTCATTCTTGACATCATTATAAGAATGCACAAAGTTCATGTTTGACTATGTGTCCACAGTTTAAAATTCACTCGTTTATTTCATTGATAAGGGAACTGGCAGGAAGACAAGAAAGTTGTTTCTAAAGCAAAGGATTAAGGGACAGAGTCTTATATAACCAGTTGGGAAAGGAGTACCAAAATGAGTTTGCCAAGCCGAAACCGGTTTGGCTCAGTGGTAGAGCATTGGTCTGCGGACTGAAAGGTCCCGGGTTTGATTCTGGTCAGGGGCATGTATGCTGGTTGCGGGCACATCCCCAGTAGGGGGTGTGCAAGAGGCAGCTGGTCGGTGTTTCTCTCTCATCCACGTTTCTAGCTCTCTATCTCTCTCCCTTCCTCTCTGTAAAAATCAATAAAATATTTTTTTTTAATGAGTTTGCCAAGTTAGGTGGAAAGTGCTAAGTGAAGACCAGTTTTGCTGTAGAACAGTGGTTTTCAAACATGTCTGGTTTTCAAAACCACCTGAGTTTTTCCAACATGGAATGCCCAGGCCCTGCCACAGAGTTCCTATTTCATTGGTCTGGGGTGGAACCCAGGCCTGTTCAAATAATCCCCGCAAGACAGCAATCTAACACATGGCCAAGGAGCCTCCCTGCCCAGATAAAAGGGGGATGGGATACTTCATCCCACAAGCTTGTCTCCTCTTATTCCCCAGGGCTTAACTGCCTTATCAGTGCAATCCCTCGCCCTACCATCCATCCATCCATCCACAGGCATCCTTGAGGCACGAATCACTTGTCAGGCCTGGGCTTGGTATGGAGCAGTATAAAAGTTCTCAGACAAAGTCTTTCCTGCATGGATCCTACAGTAGAGTTACAAGATAGACAAGAAAACAACTAATTAAATGGAGAAAATTTGGAAACACCCTGATTACTCCTGGAGAAAGTCCTGAACAAACTACAGTACATGGGACTTACTAGTACAAGGAAATCCCTGTGAAGAGGGAGGTAGATTGACAGGTACAAATTGTAGAGACTCTCCAAGATATATTGTCAAGTAGAAAAAAGTAAGCTACAGAATAGTGTATCATTTATGTTTCAAAATTTTGAAACACATTATGATGTTCTATCAGTGCATAAATATATATGTAACTGCAAAGAAAAGTTTAGAGGTGCACCTCTTATTTTCTATAATTAATTTATTTTTCAAAAAGAAAGCATCAGTTGTTTGTCAAATTTAAAATTAGTACCATTTTTTAAAATTCCAGCAGGCTCTTTGAGGGTATTCTGGAAATATTTGCACTTAACTAAGCTGTGTAGCAGTTGCCTGTTAATTGTGACAAAGCAGTTGGCGCTATCAGACATGATTTTATCTAAGTGACTATTATTTAACAGAGAGCAATGTCCTAAGGAAATGGGACATTAGACAGATGTGCCAACAGAGGAAAGGCAATAGAAAAAGAATCCAGAATGAGGACCTGCTGCATATTTAAAAAGACCCAGCTGCCAGCTTTCATCTCTGCAGCTTCCACAGTTTTACCCAAGGCTGGTCCTTCTAACCAGCTGGAAGCTTGAGTGTTGGCTAGTCTAGTCTTCCAGTGGAGATTCTCTGTTCTAGCTGCATGTTAGAATCATATGGGAGACTTACAAAAAGATTAATGCCTGGCACCAAAACCAATTAAAGTTAGACTTCAGAAGGTTGGACCAGGGTTTTGTTTTTAGTATGACAAGGCCTAAAACCCAGTGCGAGGGATTGCACTGATAAGGCAGCTAGGCCCTGGGGAATAAGAGGAGACAAGCTTGTGGAACGAAGTATCCTGCCCCCCTTTTCTCTGGGCAGGGGAGGCTCCTTGGCCATGTGTTAGATTGCCGTCTTGTAGGAATGCTCAACCCCAGCTTCTATGGGAATTTCTTGAACAGGCCTGGGTTCCACCCCAGACCAATGCCTGGCCAGCTTGGCTCAATGGTTGAGCATCGACCTATGTGAATCAGAGGGTCAGGTTTGATTCCTGGTCAGGGCACATGCCTGGATTGAGGGCTTGATCCCCAGCGTGGGGCATGCAGGAGGCAGCCAATCAATGATTCTCTCTCATCATTAACGTTTCTATCTCTCTCCCCCTCTCCCTTCCTCTCTGAAATCAATAAAAACATATACAAGTATATATATTTTTTTTGGGGGGGGGGTTTGGGGGGTTTTTTTGTGTATTTTTTTAAAATATATTTTATTGATTTTTCACAGAGAGGAAGAGAGAGGGATAGAGAGTTAGAAACATCGATGAGAGGGAATCATCGATCAGCTGCCTCTTGCATACCCCCCACTGGGGATGTGCCCACAACCAAGGTACATGCCCTTGCCCGGAATCGAACCCAGGACCTTTCAGTCCTCAGGCTGATGCTCTATCCACTGAGCCAAACCGGTCCCGGCTATATATATATATATTTATTTTTTATTTATTTTTTAAAGAATCATGCTTGCTTGCTCACACACATTTTGGCACCATTCCAGTTTGTGCAACATCATGCTTGCAAAGTACTCCAAAATCTGTTGCAGGTGCTGCCTCACCTCTAGGGGAAAATGGAAAAAGAAAAAACACTTGTACTTTTGTGCTATGTGATTCCAATATTATAACACCATGTGTTTGGTTCATTTCAGGCTCGACTGACCAAAGAACAGCGCTGGGGAAGTGCATTACTCTCCAGAAATCACTCCTTAGAAGAGGAATTTGAAAGGGCAAAAGCAGCAGTGGAGGTAACTTTTATAAAATTGCTATTATTTCATGTTTCTGAGAGTGGAATTCAAAAATTCAAAATTCAGCAGGGTATGCAGGAAATGGGTCTTACTTTATAGACATGAGATAACCATGATTATGATTATCAGCATGAAACCTGTTACCAGAGAACTTTTGACTTCCCACCAGGAGGAGCTAATAGATGTCATCTCTTATGATAATTCTGTGATAGATTAGCAATGACTGTCCAAAGTCCTTAGTCAGAAAGAACACTGAGCCTCATCTGGCTTCTATGGTTTTATGATGAATCTAAACTATCCATTTTTTATGCCTCTCTCTGTGAGACCAAGATTTATGCCTGGCATTTTCATCTCTCCAGCATCTATACAATGTCTGAAACACAGAAGGTATCACTGCCCCAGAAAAGGTATGGCTGAGATTTTCCAGTCAATGGAAGGCCTATCTTGCCTAAAGCCATAATTTTTTACTCTTAAGTGTATACAAAACAAATGGTAAGATTTCATTCTTTTTTATGGCCAAGTTATATTCCATTGCATATACATACCACATCTTCTTTATCCAGTCATCTATTGATGGACACTTACCGTATTTTTTGGACCATAAGATGCACCGGACCATAAGACGCACCAGTTTTTAGAGAAGGGAAATGAAGAAAAAAAGATTCTGAAACAAATAGTGTTCTAAAATATTTTATGTGCATTAAAACCCAACATCACAGTCATAAACACATGTAATCAACCCTGTAAAGTAAACAGCAGCATTTAGAACCATTTTAGAGCCGGGCAAGCACACAGAGACCACACAGAGCCGGGCAAGTAAAAAAACTTTTTTTTTTAAAGTATATGTGTAGGCTATATTTGGACCATAAGACGCAGGGACTTTTTCCCCCCACTTCTGGGGGGGAAAAAGTGCGTCTTATGGTCCGAAAAATACGGTAGGTTGCTTCCATATCTTGGCTATTGCATATAATGTTGCAATGAACATAGGAATGCATATATCTTTTCAAATCTAAAAAACAAAGTTCACAAATAAATAGAAAAAATTCAAAGATACAGATAACAAACTGATGGTTGCCAGTGGGAGGGATAGGTAGAAAGATGAAAAGAAGTACATATTGCTAGTTACAAAATAGTCATGAGTTATAAAGTACAGCATAGAAAATATAGTCAAGAATCTATATCATAAAAGCCCTGTGGTTGTAATGCCATCACAGCATCACAACCAACTACTGGATTCACCAGGAGGTTCACTGATGGAGCCCGAGGTGGCCACAGCGGGTGGGACTTCTGGAGTGTCATGGGTGCTGGCAGCATCTGAGGAGCATCACAGTCTTCTAGCAGCATCCACGGAATGTGCAAAGCTTTGCATGGTAGTGGACATGGCCCTAATGGTAGGCTAGGCCTAGGGGACCCTATACACACACAATTTAATCATGTGCTGGGCCTTTAGTATTGTAATAACTATGTATGGTGTCAGGTGGGTACTAGAGATATGAGGGGATCACTTTGCAAATTATCCTAATATCAATATATAAAAACCCTGGGTCCATCATGACCAACTCAACCAACTGGAAGTCAGTCCTGCAGGGAGGCCTGAAGAGAGAAGCAGGGTCTGATCTGTAGCCTGCATGGCAGCTGTTGATCAGCACTTGCCTCTCTTTCTCTCCAGACCAGGCCAGCAACCACGCCTCCATTTCTCTCCAGGCCTCCACCGGGACTGCTGATCAGCCCCGCTTTTCTGATCAGGCCCCATTGCTAGGCCCAGAAACACTGACTGGCATAGAAACCAATTATTATAATCAGAACCAAATCTGAGTAAAGTGTGAGGAGCCAATGGCTGCTTAGGAGGCAGAGCTTTTGATGCTGACTGGCACAGAAACTGACCAATCAGAACCAAAATGGCTGGCAGAGGAGGGCTGTTGGGGGCAAGATCTGGCCAGCAGGGTAGGGCTGTTGGGGGTGATCAGGCAGACAGAGGCAGTTGGTGAGCCGTTAGGAGCCAGTTGGGGGCAACCAGGTTGGCAGGGGAGGGCAGTTGGGGAAGAAATCAGGCTGGCAGAGGAGGGCCATTGTGGGTGAGATCAGGCCAACAGGGGAGGGCCATTGGTGGTGAGATCAGGCCGGCAGGGGAAGGCAGTTGGAGGTGAGATCAGGACGGCAGGGGAGGGCAGTTGGGGGTGATCAGGCAGGCAGGCAGGCAGGCAGAGGCAGTTAGGGGCAATCAGTCAGACAGCAGGTGAGCGGTTAGGGGCCAATGGTCCCAGATTGTGAGAGGGATGTCTGACTGCCAGTTTAGGCCCAATCCCATAGGATGCAGGCTGGGCTGAGGGAACACCACCCCCACACCCCCGCCCCACACGAATTTCATGCACCGGGCAACTAGTACTAATATAAATGTCTAACCACTATGTTGTACAACTGAAACTAATATAATATTGAATGTCAACTATAATTGAAAGGTAAACAAAATTTTTTAAAGAGTATGCCAAACAATGACCATGTTGATACTGTAAATACAATGAGATACTTAATTCAAACATGAATTTTCTTATTTAACCTTCTAATGAGGAAGAAAGACAGAAAGGAGGGAGAGAAAGGAAGAAGAAAAGGAGGGAGGGAAGCCAAAAAGGACAATCTTTGCTGTTTGTTATCCATTTTCTTTCTGGTCAGAATCACAAAGAGTGCACCACAGATACCATCTGTGATATTCATCAGAGCTGTGCTAGATTGCTATTTGAGAGTGAATCTCTACACCAAACCCAAGCAGGAACTTGTGAGGATCTCCATTTCTGTTACTGATATGAAGTCTTGAAAACTGAAAGTATTCCTGTTCAGTTACATGGCTGTATTGCAACTAGAATTTGGATGAAATTATTGTACTATGAACAGTACATTTCAGTGACTCAATACTTGAAGTGCAGTTAAATCATATTTCTAATTTAATAGTGAAAGGATTCTTTAAATCCTAGAAAATAATCCCAGTCATAATTTCATATCATCATTCAGAAACCCAATAAGAGAACACTTTTTTTCTGATCACAATACAATTTACCCTAATTTCTTTTTTTAATTTTAGCCTTTTTACTTTAAAAAATTAATGTATTTTAAATCTCTTGAGTGAGCAACTGATATATTTGATTGAGATTAGCCTCGACCACATTGTCTAACTGCATGGAGCCTATAGCTCAATTTATTTTAAATGTAGTTTTTTTTTTCAGACTTAAGAGCTCATTTAAATTTATCTTTTGAACTCCTCCTGTGTGTAGCACATTGAATTAGTATTTAAAACCATAAAATTTGGGTCAGCAAAGACAGAATTGATAAGATCCCATTTAGAATGAGAAAGTCACTGGGTTCACACTCAAAAGGCTTAATTTCAAAGTAACATATTAATAAGACAAAAATTATCCATCTATCTATGTATGTGATATATAGAAATAGATATATATTGATATAGAGATATATACTCACAAAATCATTTCATCTTAGTTTTGGTAAAGACCTTAGAAGTTATTTATTCCAACCAGGCACACAAAATACATTTTTTCCTACTCAAGCATACTTGACAAATTGTTCACTCAAATATAACCTGTTTCTACTTGAACACTTCTAATTAGGAGCACCTCACTTCTTTTCAAGAAAATCTATTTTGGTTTTGGACAATCCTACCTATTAAAAATCTCTTCCCTGGTCTGGCCTGCATGACTCAGTGGCTGAATAATCTATGAACCAGGAGTCACGGTTCAATTCCCACTCAGGGCACATGCCCAGGTTGTGCGCTCTATTTGTGTGGGACATATAGAAGGCAGCCGATCAATGATTCTCATCATTGATGTTTCTCTCTCTCTCTCTCTCTCTCTCTCTCTCTCTCTCTCTCTCTCTCTCTCTCTCTCTTTCTCTCTCTCTCTCTCTCTCTCCCCCTCCTTCTCCCTCTCCCTCTCTCCCTCTCTCTCTCCTCTCCTCTCCCTTCCTCTCTGAAATCAATAAAAATATATTAAAAGAAAAAAATCCCTTCCCTGTATTATGCTGAAATTGACCTACAACAACTCCCAGTGTTGCTGAGTCTTGGCTTTGCCCTCTCCAGAACAAGGCAAAATGAGCTGAATCCCTTCTCTATATGATACTCACCTCATTCCTTGTAAACTTATCTTTTCCTGGCTTCTCCTGGTTGTTATTTCTCTCTAACAGCTTCATTTCATCAATAGTATAGACCTCAGTTTTCACACCTGTATGGAAAATCCTAGGAGGCTGTAAGTTACTCAAGTAGTCATTCATTCAACAAACATCACTGGCTGTCTACATGTGCTGACTGCTGTAAGCATAAAGTGTGTGTTTAAATGCTAATGCTAGTATTCTTGGATGGCTAGATTTGGATTTTATTCTGTCTCTTACTTTATCTGTATTTTCCAAATGTTCCATCATAAACATGCATTCTGTTGGAAACCAAGAAAAACATGGTAAGTGATAGACATTAGAGAGGGATATAAGATGCTTAAAAGAACGAAAAGCGCCCCATTGTTCATTTCAAGGCCAACTAAGAATGGTGTCACAGACCTGCTTCTTCATCAGAGACAAGCAGTTCCAAACACTGGTTAAGACCCATTTTCAAATCAAAATTTTCCAAAGTCTCTAGTTTATATTTTATATCATCTGGCTTCAATATTCTTTCTCTTTCACAGCCTATTACATTCTTAAATGCTAATTTTTAAATTCCATTTATTTCATTTTTGTCACCATCCTGCCTAAGAACCTAGCAGCTCCTGCTTCTCCGCAGCCTCCTCACAATCCCCCATGGTGCCGATGTCCTCCTTTGCCTCTTGCACAACCACCTCACTGCCCTCTGTTTCCACTCTGTCTTTCCTCTGCAGAGAGCACTCCCTCAGATCCTCAGGGGGCAGGTTCCTTCCTGTCATTCAAGTTGTAGCCGGAGTGTCAGGGCCTCAGAAAGCAGAGCCTGCCCACCCAGTTGCTGCCACAACACCTAGAGCAGTGGTCTTGCA